GATTCAACACCTGTAACTTTGTAAAGGTGGCATTTTCTGTCAAGTGAGGTTGGTTGGATGGTGGTTATTTCTGTATTTTCTCCAAATGCCAAACTGTATTCAGGCATGGTTTTTCTTGATTGCATGAGACCTGTTTCAATGCAGCATTTTGCCTCTGCTGTTGCATGGCACTTAAAAGCAGGACTGAAGAGGTCAGAATTCTGAGAGTATAGTCTGCTCATTCCTGGTGTGGGTTGCACTGCTCATTTGCAAGGCAGGGGTAGAAGTGCCTAATTGGAAAAACATAGGAATAGCAGCAGCCAAATGGCTGGAGGTCCATGTTTTTGCAATAGAATGTCACCTGAACTTACCCAGTCATTCTGAATGTAGTCCTTGGCAGTTATTGTTGGGGACAGTGTGGGAAGGTTGGTTGCCTGGGAACTCTTGACTTGGGACAGTTTAGGAATGGAGACACTGGAAACCACTAGGCTTTCTGTACCAAACTACAGAGAATTGTCTTACCTTAGGAATAGTAGGTTGGTTTTGTGTTGAAAGCAGTGTCAAAGTCAGAAGTAAAGGTTTGGTGGGTCGAAGTGAAAGAACCATGTCTTCAGTGTTTCTGTATGGATTGTTATAAAAGGTACATGGAACTGTGGAGGAATATCTGTAGGTAGTATGAACACAGAGAAGATTCTAACTGTAACACTCTATAGTAATTTGCATCCACTGAGCAACTATGAATTGCCTAGATGTATCAGGGAATCATAAGTAGAATATAAACCATAGTTTCAATTTTCTATGAAGTAGCAAGAAAACACATTCATACGTGTTTGCTTTAGGAGCACAGAATTAATCTCGGTGGGCTTAACACTTGTGACCAGAAGAACGTTCCTTATGGCACAGTCAGAAGCCTTTGTAAGTCATTGGAAATAGTTTTTTAGCTGTTGTTTTTGCAAAGGGCACAACAGAAAAGGCTTGTTATGAAAGGAAATACAGCTTGAAATTACAGTGTCTGAGATCTATTGCTTGACATCCTTGACTGAAAAATTATATGGTATAAGAGATACTCTGAGTAACAGTTTACTTAAAATGAGATGTTGGCACATATGTATTTTGGGGTTGTAGAGATGTAGATTTTGATTTGAGAACTGCAGGCAAATTTTATGCTCCAAGGATGATACCAGTGATGTCTTTTGACTGATAATGAAAGTTACCTGACAGTTTCTATGATGATAACGTGTGAAGCAAGCTGTTATAGGAAAGAACAAGAGTTCAGACAGGAAATGTAAACATGTGCTATAATCTCTTCAGGTTGGATTTCTTCAGGAAAAGGTTAACCACCGAGCGGGTAGTGAAGCACTGCGTCAGGCTGCCCAGGGCAGTGACCACAGCACTGAGCTTGCCTGAGATAAAACAAGCATCTGGATGAAGCTCTAAGTCACGTGGTTTGATTTTTGGATGGTCCTATGTGAGGCCAGAACTTGGATTTGGTGATCCTTATGGGTCTCTTCTAACACAGAATATTCTGTGATATTTTTTTTTTCTTTTCTGATGTTCTAGGAGTTTGGCATGCTACCTGCAACTGCAGTCATCCTATGAAAAGGAAGCGAAGCCATCTCAGATGTGATGTGGCTTCAAGAATTGTGCTCAGATATGAGCTGTAGCATGAAACCACACTTAGGCCTACTCTATGTCAGTAGGGCATTTGGATTGCATCATTTTATCTAGTGAGCTATGAAGGAGGATTTTATGCATGTTACGGGAAAATTATCAGCACTAACCCGAGTTTTATCTATAGTTTCTCTGCAAAATGAACTTATTTCTAACTTGGATGAGAATTGTGCCTGGGATTTATCCCAGAGCTGTGATGAGTCAACCTTTGTGGAAAAACCCCTCAAGTATCTAATCATAAACTTTCATATGATTTGTTCAGTGAGGGGTAGAGGAATCCATTTCTGTGTAATGATTCTTCTGATTACTGTATGCAGTAAGCACACAGGGGATGGATGTACAGTGAACAGGATGACTGAGGCCCCCCTTAGCCTCCTCTTCTCTAGGCTTACAAAGCAAGGGACCTCAGTTGCTCCTTGTACATCTTCCTCTCTGGACCATCTTCATAGCCCTCCTTTGGATTCTCTCTAGTCATTCTATGTCCTCCTTATATTTTGTTTTGCTACTGATTGAATCTGGATACAAGAAAGCAGCAGTCACATCTCTCAGCCCAGCTTCAGAAGCTGGACCCAGAGCTGCAGGACATGGTGGCCATTCCTAACATCTCTAACACTGTTCTAATTGTTGGATCTGGGAGCATAGCAGCCTGGCCTTAGTTGGGCTACGAGGTTCATCTTTATCTCCTTATCAGACCATGCTGATATTTAATATGAATCCACTAACTTCTCCTTGAGAAGAGTAGCAGAAGAAAACTAATTTACCTTCTGGTGCACTTCCCCTGCTACTGTCCACCATGTGTGTGCTTTCAAGGAAAATATCTCACAGTCTTGTCACTTGTCAGCAGGACTAGTTTTGTCCTACATCTAGCTTGTGCAATTGAAATCATAGAACTATAGAATTGCTCAGGTTGGAAAAGGCTGTCAAGATCATCAGTCCAACCACAACCTAACCAAACTACCCTAACAACCAACCCATTGCCAAATCATGACCGTGAGAACCACATCCAGATGGTTTTTTAATACTGTAGTTTTATGTTATACCTGAGAGAAGCTCTGTCACTGTGGTATACATCTACTCTGTCCTTGGTGCTTTTCACAGAGAGGAGAAGGCTAATACAGACACAATCTAGCTACCAGGAGTTTGATTTTTGTTTATAAGACATGCAGTTTTATTACTTTATCCTCTCAAGTATACTGACTTCCAAAGCCTTTTAGCTGTGTCCCTCTGTAGGATCACTTGCATGAAAAGGATTTTGTTTTAGCACCCTTCTCTTGTTTTATTTTCTATCACCTTGTACCTTAGTATTGGACCAGAGGATCTTCTGCCATGAGGTGTTCAACCTGCATGGATGCTCTCATCAGCTGCAAGGGAGTAGCAGTGGTCACAGGTGTATCCCAGAGGTGCCCAGATTATGCTTTATAGAAAGGAGGGGTTACCATGAATGGTCAGTTGTGTATTTTTTTCTTTTTCACGAGAGGAAAGCTAACAAAGTATTGGGCTTTTTTCCTGTTTCTAACTCTACTTTGAAACTTTGCTTGCTATTCCTTCTCTTAGGGAATGCTTGATTTGGTTTCGTTCTGCATTTCAGATGGAAGAACAGTATTTCTGCGCTTGAAAGCAAGCTTAATCTGCATTGTTGGCACTGAATAATGGAAACAGAGACAGTCAATTTGAGACACTGTGATTAAGGTTGAGCATGTGTGTTTTGGAATTGAAAAAATTGACTTTAAATCTAGCTTGAATTGCAGTCTAGCAAATAAGGGTAATTGCGTCTTAGTTTCAGTCGCAATTTCAGAGGTCATGCTGTTTTAAAAGTGGCAAGCTGTTACATTGTGTATTAATTAATTCCAGTGCTGCTTAATGATACGCTTTCAGTTGAATTGCTTTAACTGCAAAGTGGAAGGGAAGCACTTCTGAACGCACTCCAGCAGAGCACTGATCACTTTGATGTAAGGAGGCACGGGGGTGTGCAGGGAGAATCTAAGGACACAGTTGTTCCAGCAGCCGTGGCTGCCTGGGCACGTTATCAATCTCGAAAAACCTTTACAGCATTTCAAGAGAGATGCAATAGCACTGATTGTGATGGGTGACTGAACAGAGTTTCCTTCAGAGCTGTTCAGAAACAGCTGACGAGTGCAGTTTTAAGAAGAGGCTACTGGAGAAGCTCATTGTGTGTGTCTTTCCTGCCACCTTCTGGGTAGGGTAAAGAATAATTTTGAGTTGACTTCTACAAACATCACATTATTTATTCTTGGCAATATGTATGTCAACCGTTCATTATGTAAAGTATGTATTTAGATTGCTCTGCACAAACTTTTGTCTTCCACTGCCAAAATAGCATTCTTTCGGTGCTCCTGGAGAGAGCATCGCTCTGCTTCAGTCTCTTCCTTTCATCATTCTTTTGCTTTTTCTGTAAATAACCTATTTCCACAGGTACTTCTATTGTAGAGTGCTTGTGTTTTAGCTTGCTCTTGTAAGCAGTGAGATTGAAGAAGGAATAAAAGCTTGGAGTAAGCAATTAGTAAAGCTGATTATTCTTTGAAGCACTCTACAAAGCACGCACATTGAATTTAGCAACATCTTTAATAAAAGGATGAGTGGAATTTTTCAGAAGTACTTAGTTCTAATCTGTACCCTGTGTTGTCAGTGGATTTTGTCTTATTGTGAATTTCAGTAAGACTGTTGAAGTCATATTGTAATAATTTCCTTTCAAATAAGGAAATACAACCAGAGGAGCTTACTGAATTATGTATGGAGAAAAGTGGGAAGTGCTGTTTAATTTCTACACTAACAATGAATATTTAAATTAGCTCTTATTATAACATGGAAAAGCCATATTGGGGCTTCAGAAAAGTAGAAAACAAGATTTTCTTGATTATAGATGTACACACACAAACATGCATACAGACATACAAAGAACCAAGAAATAAAGATGTTCCTCAGAACAGGTGCTAAATGGACAAAGGATCTCTGATAAGCCGTTAGACCATTGCTATCCAACCTTTTGGTTTGCCTGGGCCTCATTGAGTGAGGAGGAGTTGACTTGTGCTGCATATAAAATATAGTTAGTGTAATGTTGAACTGTTATCTGTTGTATAGCTAAACATAACAGAAGTAGTGAAATAACTTCTTGTGTGTCTGAGTATAGATTTTTAGCAGCTGCTATTGAATGTCTTCAAGCCAGTGTCCTGCTGCAGTTGATGCTCACTGGCAAAGGTAGTATATATTGGAACGCTTCACTGCAAACTTCTAACTCCTCTCTAGTAAACAGAATCACTTTAAAAATAAAAAAAGATATAAAATACAGTTGGGTTGTGCTGTAATAAGATGTTTTGTGTTTCTTTCTTCAGGTGAAAAATGTGTTTTGTATGAAGGCGAAGGAAGGCAGAAAAAAATCAATACGTGCTTTAGTGGCTGTTGGAAATGGGAAAGGGGCTGCAGGTACGTATGTTTGCTGTATGTGAAAGATTCCAAATTAATCATTGCTTGTAACTGAGCTTTTGAAGATGTGAGGAAACATTGTATGCCAGAAAAAAAACTACACTTTTTTCCATTTATTTCACTTATTATTTCCTCCTTAGACGTAGGATACTTCTTTGTCAGTATTACTGCTTTTAGTTACAAAGTAAGGACTGACTTACTGGTAACATGGACTGTCCTGATTCAGAAGTTTGTCATTAATCTGTTAAGTCAGAAGACCATGAATTTCCTTCAGACTCCTCAGGAAGCTCTCTTTAGTAAAGTTAATCCAAAAAAAAAAAAAAGCCAGCAAACCACACTTCCCTACAGATTTCGTGTTTGTACTTCTAAGGAAAAAGAACACTTGTGGCTATTTGAGTCTATTCCTGTGGTAACTTCAGTAATCTGCAGTTTGACCCATTTATAGGTTTTCTCCATTACAATTTTTATAAAGGTCTCTTCAGCAAGTAATTTAAAGTCCAACCATAGAAATGCTCTTTATGACATAAAGGAAATGGGACAAATCAAAAGAAATGTGATATTATGAAAGATCTAATAATACAAGCTATGAACAGAGCTCTTTCTTTCTCAGCAGAGGCTGGAGAGAGAATACTGATCAGGGGGATTCAGTTCAGTTTTGTTCTCCTTGTAACAGGAGTAATTAAGCACAATTATGCTGAACAGTAGCACTTGCCAAGCTATCTCTAGAAGTAATCATACCAAGAGGATCTCATCTAATATTATGGTACTGCTTCATACATTAGTAAGATCAATTAGAGCAAAGACCTAGGACTGAGAACTGCATGTTGTGCCATGTTCCTCTCCTTTAAGAATATGTTCTAAAGTAAGTAATTGCGATTCCTACTTCAATTAAATGCTTAACAATCTTGGCCAGAAGAGCCTTTTTGCTGATCAGAGTTGGGCTTTACAAAATAAGGATAACAAGAATTCCACTCTACTGCAGCTTCTTAAGGGATTGTATGCAGAGTAGATTTGCTGGAAAAATTCCCCATTGGTTTAGCTTAGTCAGTGATCACTGTTGATGAGGAAGTAGTTTGTGTTATGGTTACAGATTTTATAAAGGAGGAGACATCGTTGTAAAACAAGGCAACAAAAACAGCAAACAGAACAAAAGGGGAAAAAGAAAGCAAAACTGAAATTTGCCAAAACATTTATGTGCCTTCTGGGTCTTGCTTATATGTCTGGATGGATAGGATCCAACGTGTTTTTTTTATAGTAGACAGATGAAATTCAAAACATGGGTAGACTTGGCCTTTTATTTCTTAGAAAATCACTTATTGGATGTCATTTGAGCCTTAGGAGTTGTTACATTGATGTTTCTAATATATGCACTCTTTGTGCCAGTGATACGCCTGCCCAATAGTAGTGCTGACCTCCTATGTTCTTGTTTATCTGCCACTTCTGTGATTTATACTGCATATGCTATGTGCACTTACCTTTCATGTGCTCAGTTACATGAGGCTGGGTAAGGCTGATAAGCAGATATTAGTATTTCAGCACAGTCACACAGCAAAGCCTTTTATATATGAGCTATTTCTGGATAAATAATATTTAACAATATTACGTACTGGTAAAGCAAAAAGAGATGTTCTGTAATGTGATATTTAAACTTGTTGCTTTTTAAAAATCTCTGAAGGCTAGCAAATGCTCACAGCTGAGGTAGGAGAAACAGCACACCTAGAAAGTGTGCTGTTTCTTCCAGGTTTTCTGATTCTTTTTGTCAGTTACAGAAGCTATCAAGCATTCTTCATCTTGCGAGAAATGCTTTGTTTTAGTAGCCAGCATTTGAGAAGGGTCAGAATCCAAGCCTGTGGGATAAGTTGTCAGGACTGCTTATAAAAGCTGTGCTAGAACCATTTAATTGTAATACTGCTTAATTGTAAAGGGATTCTTAAAAGAACTGCAAAACCACACTGTACTACAGTGATTTTCCAGTTGCATTGTTTAGGAAATAGCATACATCTTCAACTGATTTTTCATGTAATTTTTTTTTCCCCCCAGGCTATGTTTTATTTAAGAAGGATCCTTGAATGTGCCAAGTTTTTCTCCCTGAGGAGATAGACTTCTTTATGTAAATACAAACCAATGTACATTAAAATTCCTATTAGATGTCAAATAAACTTGCAGATAAAAAGTCTGTGCAGAATTAAAAGAAGACTGCTTAAAAGAAAAAAGTGAATAGCTATAGAGTAAATAATCCAAATAATAGAGACAGGAATATGGGATGGTGACAGAGTATAGGAAATTACATTTGCATTGTTATATGGCTGTACTAAAGAAAATTCTATTTTCAGTATATGTGCAGAGCTTCCAACTGTTGGATGTAAATAGTCTCTTTTTATGATGAGCTTGATAGATATCTCTGATGAGATGTACGTAGGAGCTTTATTAAGACAGCCTTATTTCCAGTTGAGTACAATTCTTCAGAATTTCATCTGTTTGAAATATTCAAATCTAGATGGGCTCCTCAAGGTGAATTTTAGCTACAATTTAGAGGGGAAGAAAGGAATGTATACACAGATCAAGGTGTGTCTCCAGCAGAACACAGTTGCTCTGAAAAGCTCTCCTTATCTTTTCTTTGAAATGTTTTTTCATAAAATATTATCATGTCCTTGAAGGCACACTTTAATCTTGAGTGAAAAATGATTGAATTGAGCTTGACCAAGTGATCTCACTTTCTGAGCTTTCTAATGTTGTGTGTGACGTCATTGTTAGTACATTATTAATGAGCTGTGTGTGTGCATAAAAGCATAGCACAGTTTGCTTGCATTTTCTTCTTCAGGAGTTAAAAAGTGATGGAGAGTTCGTGGGTATATAGTGTGTGCATAGGGAAAACTATCAAGTGTTAACTGACAGCAAGTGCTACCCTTGACCTTCTGCTTCTTACACCGTCAACTTCCAGACGTGTGGTGATGTCCACCACAATAGTTTGGATGCTTTCTTAGATCTCTTCCAGTCCATTTCTCCTGTAATATCTGCAAGAGATTAGTGAGTTGATGTTGGCCAACGAGTCCGACTCCACTGATTTTTCTTTTTGTATGAGGCATCGTGATACAGAAACTCTGAGTCCCAACTGACACAGCAGAATCATCAAAAGACCAGAAAAAGCTTAAAAAAAAAAAAAAGTAAATATTTTTATCTCAATTTGTCTTGACAGCATTGGATTTAAAAGTTCAAAAAAACCAGTTGTCACATCCTCCTATTCATTCCATAAGCTCAGTTGATGCCCCACTTTCTCTGTTCTGTAGGAATATATATTTTGCAAATACACAGTTGTGTTGATAAAACCTGTTTTTAATGTTTTCTATTTTGCTGATATAAACCCAGTCTCCTCTGTTTCTAGGGCTTTCAAGGTGCCATTTGTACAGATGTAGTTCATACGTCTGTCAGCTTCCTTGTTTCCTTCCTTCATTTACTTCCTTTTAAACAGAAGACTGATAGTATTAGATGAAGCAGCTGTCTGTATTCAGTTGTTTGAAACATGTATAGAGCAAATAAAAAATAAGTCTTACTTATCTTTGTTTGACAACAAGCAAACTGACATCAAATAATTAGATATTCATAACTAAAGTTTTTACTTTCTAAATGTGGTTTTCTCTGGGGCTTTTTCTGAATGTGATCTATGTAATGGATTGGAAATAACAGGTGGTAGTCTTGGTTGTGAAATTCACTGGTTTTTCCTCCTCTTCTTTCTCAAGACACTGCTTCAATGCATTTCTCAGTAATAAAATATTTTTGTCTTTCAGGTTTTGCACTGGGAAAAGCAGGCGACAGGATGAATGCTTTACGGAAAGTATGTTGATTAAAAGCAAGTACAAGTATTTCATACCAAAATATAAGGTGTTATATATTTTTTAATTATTGGTATATTTTTAGTGTACACAAACACATACAATCTACTTATAGAGTGGTGTGTAGGACTTTCTCTTCCATGTGTATAATGGCATTAAGGAGGCTTCTTTAGGCTTCAAGTATTTATTAATCCATCCAGCTTAATCTAGTTTGTGTTTCAGTGGTCAACAAAACATACCAAATAGCAATGCTAACGTGCACAGTTAAGTTGGTAGTACCCTGTGAAGTCTTTTGAAATGTTCAGTCTATTAGGAGGGTACAGTTGTTAACTTGAATGTTTTCATTTCCGTAAGGTAAGTGGGTTAGATCATCAAGCCAGCTTTCTTAAGTTTTCTTTCTTTTTTTTTTTCTCCCAGGGTAACTAAACAACAGTAGATTTCCAATGCTTGGCATAAAAATTCACAAAAAAAACTTTTTTTTTCTAGGCAAAGAACAAAGCAATACGCAGCTTACATTTTATAGAGCTGTATCAGAACCACACAAGTAAGTAGTATCCTTTTTGACTCTTCAGCTTTCAACAAGCAATGAATACACTGTTAAAAGCTGATTGAAACTAGTTGCCTTTAATTAAAACCTTTAATTTTAGAATAATTTAATTTTTAATTTTAAAAAAGGCTTAATTCATTGTATTTTTGTTGTGTGTATTACTTAGTTTCTTCAGCATGCTTCATTAAATAATAGCCCCACATTGTTTTAGCTAGACAGTAGTTCACAGTCTACTGATGTAGATTTGTGCAAAATAAACTGCTTTTAACTGCAGTGAATATGCATTTGGCTCTTTTCTTTCACTCAGGTTTGCATCAACAGTTGTAGGATTGTCCATGAAGACGAGTTCTGTTAAGATTTCTTAATATAAGCAGATGTTGCTAAAATATTGTGGAGAGATTTATCTTCCTTCTGTTCTCCTATTCTTCAGTTCTGTTTGAATGCTTAATGCATAGTATTTCAGGTGTTTTAAAAACATGTGGCAGTAATAGCAAGAGCTGATCTCTGCTGTAAGGATGTCAGCTATGGCTGGACATCTTTTCTCTGTAGTGGATTCCACTGTGCTTTTTCCCTTTTGCCATTCAAAGATGATACCCTGTTCACTCAATCCATGTATACAGAAAGGTCCCAGGAGGGCTAGAGAACTCCGTGGTGTGTTCCATGGTAGCTTTTTGTGAATTTGGTTTAATAGCATACAAGTCTGTCTGATACCAGGTGTGATACCACTATACCAAATACTCTGTTATCTTTTGGAAAAAATTGAAAGATGGTACCTTACAGTGGACATCTTTAACCATGTTATTTACGTAGGTAAATGTTCAGTATAATACAGCTTTGTCTTACGAATATGCAATTGCAGTTATCCTTATGAGTCTGTTCCCTGACCATTAATATTTCACATTAATAAATTAGGGATTTGATTTAAAAACTAGTGGTGTTTTCCCCATGCTTTCTGTTCTGCTTAATGTGAGCCATCTTGGCTGCAGTGTAAGAATTCAGTATGCAGAGGCTGAGTCACTGAATCAGATGTGTACAGCAACCACCAGAGGAAATCAGTTTGGGGTTCCTTTTCAAGGAAAGCGGGAAGACTGGGATGGCAAATTTCTATATAGAAAAATCTAAGAACACCAAGGCCTAATGGAGAAATTTTAAGTTAAAACCTGAGTTATTAAGAAAAGCTAAATATAAAGAGGAAGATAAAATTGCATCACAGAACTTAGTTGTAATGCCTTTGTTGTTTTTTTCCCTCCTTTAGTTTATCATGATATTACAGTGAAATTTAAATGCACAAACATCCGCATGAAGAAACAAAACAAAGGTAATTAAGTTGCTTGGAAATTTTAAAGTTTTATTAATCACCAACTGATATTTATTTGATGAAGTTAAATCTGTGCAATATTCATTTACTTCAGCATTAGGTAGATAGAAACGAATGATATATCTCTGAAGATAACCAATGATAACTAATTGTCTTTTATTAGAAATACCTTCTGTTGATGACATGGCTTTATTATTGTGAATCAGGATTTGTTCCTTATACACTGGTGGGAGCTCTGGCTTTCTGCTGCCCTTCATGCTTCCCATTGCAATTCAAAATACTTTCAGTCTACAGTAGTAGTAAATTGCTGTCAGTAGTTGTGAAATTTGCAACTCAGCATGCCTGATGTCAACAGTTCAGCACAAGAGAAGGCAGGCAACTTCACCCAGGCTTCCCTGATCAGTATACTGGTAAAATATGCCACCAAGTCACAGCAAATGCTCAGATACTTATTTTCTCATAGGGCTGTCTCCTGGTCAGTGTTAATAAGCAGTATTTCGTTCCATCCTATATGATGGCACTCGTGTGATTTATATTATATGGTGATGAAGTGTACTTGCTCACAGATGGGTTTCTGTCTTTGCCATTGTTCATACTCCAAACAAACAGAAAAAGAACCATGACTGCAACAGTACAGATTTTTATTTGGAGAAGTTCTACTGTATTATCAGACTGGGAGTTGAGGGATAGATGTGGCTGCATTGTCCTCACAGCTTTAGCCAAAAGAGATGCGCAGTTACCACACATCATCTGTCTGCTGTCACTGGTAGCTTCCACCTGAATGCTGAACTTTTGAAGAGACATTACTGACTTTCTGCCATCCCTTTCCTTCTCATCTCCAGAGCTGTTGTATTTACCAGCTGTTGAAAATGATGGGGATATATCCAGAGCAACCTTGTATCTTGATGTGAGCTTCCTCAGGATTGCAGTATAGGAATTCTTACCATATGAAGTAGTTCAGTGAAGTAATGCTTAGCTTATTTCCAATACACTGCAGTTTTCAGTGTGACCTGTTTTACCTTCTAGATTCTTCCTGTTTTGAAGTCATTTATCATGATATGAGGTCATTTCTTTTCATGAATGTTGGAATTAAACCTTTGTACGTGGAATCATAGTATAGTTTGGGTTGAAAGGGACCTCAAGGATCATTAAGTTACAGCCTCCCTGCCACAGGCAGGATTTCCAGGTGCTAGATCAAGTACTAGAAAAAGGTTTGATTATACTTGTTTAGCTTAACTTTGCTTTCAAGATGGATAAAGCTGCTATTTCATAGAAAACGGGTATAGCTTGCTACTGAGTACTCTTAATTGACACTCTAGTATTAATATACAAACAAGGAACAAATTAATCTACGTGACTAGTTGTAATTCACTTCAGATTCATTATGGTAAGACCGAAATTGCAAGAAAATGTAATGATTAACTCATTTATGAGAAACAGCATAGCTTTCCAGTTAGAGAACTGTTATTGTGTTCACATACTTTAATTCATTAATTCCCATAGCCTTTGAATAAGCTGAAACACTGACATTTTTGACATACTCCTTGATTTTTTCATGTGTATCTGGTATTCTTTTGCACTGTCATATTAGTAATATGAGAAGATCATTAATGTTCAGAGTTGCTAATGTATTTCAAAAACGTCTAAAATTTCTGTGAATTTTCAACAATTTTTATTAGATGACATTTTGATTCTGAGATGAGGAGTTTTTTGTTCAGTATGACAGTAAAATTTAGCACAGGCTTAGAAAAATCTTTACAAGTCATCAAGAACAGAGTTGGCTGTATTCTTATCTGTAGTTCTGCATTTAAGGAGCATTCACAGTTGAAAATTGAGTAATTTGGCCTATAATTTTTTTTAGGGTAAACACTTTGAACTAAAGACTTACCTGCTATCTAAACTAGACTAATCTAAAAACTACACTGCAATTTAGTCTTTAATATCATGAGGGAAAAACATGCAAGGAGCAGGAGTAACACAACTGAGCTATGCATTTAACTATGCACTTATAAATAATGCTGTCACTGTTCAGTGGAAAGGAAGATTCTCATTAGATGCTGTTATTTTCTTTCAGTGATGCACAGAATAAGACATACCTTCCAGTCTCATCTAGTGGTACTCCTGAGCCTCAGAAACAAGAACAATCTATTAGTGCTATGTTCTAAGTAATATTACATAATCAGACTGTTGTCCTCTTTTATTTCCATTTTATTAGTACTTTTGAGAAGCAGAGTGCCTTTTTGCTGCCTTCTCTTTTTTCTAGGAGGTGTCTTTCTGTAGCTCGCGTTATTACTGCCCTGTTCAGTGAGGCTTTTCCATTCATAGAATCATAGAATTGATTGAGTTAGAAGAGCCCTTGTAAAGGTCGTCTAGTCCAACTTGTTTGCAGTGAACAGTGACACCTACAGCTAGATCTGGTTGCACATAGTTTTGTCCAGCCTGACCTTGAGTGTCTCCAGGGACAGAGATTCCACCACCTCTCTGGGCAACCTGTTCCAGTACCTCGCTACTCTTATCATATAAAAAAATTTTTTTCCTCATATTCAGTCTAAATCTCCCTCCTCTTAGTTTGAAACCATTTCTCCTTGTCCTTTCACAACAGACCCTGCTAAAGAGTCTGTCCCCTTCTTTCTTATTGCTCCCTTTATATATTGGAAGGCCACTGCTCTCAGATCTCCCTGGAGCCTTCTCTTCTCCAGGCTGAACAGCCCCAGCTCTCTCAGCCTGTCCTTACTGGGAGGTGTTCCATTCCTTGGATTATTTTTGTGGCCCTCCTCTGACCATGCTCCAGCAGGTCCATGTCTCTCCTGTACTGAGGACTCCACATCTGGATACAGTACTCCAGGTGAGGTCTCACAGTGCGGAGGAGAGGGATCATCTCCCTGGACCTGCTGGCCATGCTGCTTTTGATGCAGCTCAGGGTATGGTTGGGCTTCTGGGCTCTTATGCTGTTATGTCTGAGGCATACCACAGAATGGTTTGGGTTGGTTTGGGTTGGTTTGGGTTGGAAGAGACCTCTAGAGGTCATCTTGTCCAGCCCCAGGCTCAAGAGCAGGGGTTGTCTGATGCAGATTGCCAAGAACAATGTCCAGACTCTAATAGCTTGAGTGACTGCAAGGAAGGAAACTCCTACAACCTCTTGCCTACTGCTTGTAAAGAGTTGTTTCCTGATGTTCAGACAGAACCTCCCGTATTTCAGTGTGTGCTCACTGCTGCTTGTTCTGGCACTGGGCACCCCTGCCAAGAGCCCAGCTCCATCTGCTTTGTATTCCTCCTTCATGTGTTTATGTATGTTGCTAAGATCTCTCCATACCCTCCCCCCGCTTCCTCAGGCTGCGCAGCCCTAGTTCTCTCAGCATGTCATAGCAGAGATACTGAGGGGACTGAAGCATTTGGTGGCCCTATGTTGGAGTTTCTCAAGTAGCTCTTTCATACCAGGGAGCCCAGAATACAACGTGCTTACTCCAAGTGTGACCTCACCTCTCTCAACCTGCTGGTAGCAGTACTTCAGAATAGAATAATTTAATTCCAGTTGAAAGGTACTTACAAATTACCACTTCAGGACTAACCAAAAGTTAAAGCACATTATTGAGGCTATTATCTGAATGCTTCTTGAATACTGACAGGTATGGGTCATCAACCACCTCTCTAGGAAGCCTGTTCCAATGTTGACTACCTTGACAATGAAGAAGTTTTTCCTAATGTCCTGTCTGAACCCCTTCTGACACAACTTCCAACCATCCCCATGTTTCCTGACACTGGATACTGGGGAGAAGAGATCGCCTCCTTCTGCACTTCCCCTCCTCAGGAAGTTGTGGAGAGCAATGAGGTTGGAGAAAAGGAGGCCAAGGGACAAACTGGACAACACAGCGACCTCAGCCACTCTTCACAGCAGATGCATTCCAACTCTTCTACCAGCTTTGCAGTATTCAAGATGAGGCCACATCAGTGCTACTCCTCATCCAGCAGATTTATTTTCTGGTTGTCTTTAGGTGGAGCCAGAGCTTCATCCAACGTGGCCTTGAATGCTTCCAGAATGGAGTATCCACAGTTTCATTGGGCAGCCTGTGCCAGAGCCTCACCACCCTCATAGTAAAGAATTTCTCCTTGATGTCTAATATAAGCCTGCTCTCTTTTAAACTGTTGCCTCTTGTCCTATCTCTGCTTGCCCTGATGAAGACTCCCAGTCTTTTTGAAGGCCCTTTTATGTACTGGAAGGCTGCAGTGACGAGTCCTGCAGGTTCCAGAAGGCTTCTTTTCTCCAGTCTGAACAATTCCAGCTCTTCAGTTGATCAGTGTGCTTATGTGGCTGTAAAGCCCAGCACTGATACCCCATAGCTGTAATTAATATGCATGATATATACAGTTATTCATAGTTTTCACAGTAGACCATCTTTTATAAGATTCCTTCTGTTTGCTGATGACATTACAATTATATGGTTATATATGCTGAAGCCTCCCACTTTGCATAATTTCAGCTGGCAAATTCAGTATGTTCCCAGTTCCTGCACATAGGACTCAGTCAATGACCACAACAAAGCTTAATGTTTTAAGAAAAAAATAATTAAAAAAAGAAGTCATCGCTATAATTAAATGTCCTTTTCTTTGTTCCTAATCCCTGCAAAATGTAGAAATCTTCTGTCAGATAATCAGGATTACATAATAACCAAGTAGAAATCCAAGTTTCAAGAGTTAGATAGTATGAATATCTGAATGTGAGCTTAACTCAGCATAGTGTCTTAGTGTGGACTGGAGTAGGTTTTCTTTCCAAACTCTTGTTAGCGGATGCCCAGAAAAGTTAATGTAGGTTGCCCATCACAGCTTGTATTAGTTAGGAGGACTACATTTTAAATGCTTTTCTTGATTACCTTTTTATCAAAATTCAGTGTGAGAAGATTAGTTATGTTTTAAATGACCTTATCCTCTTACATAGACCCTCCTGAATTAAACTGCAGTAATGCAGTTGGAGTGCCACAGGCAAGTTAGAAAATGTCTGAGTACAGCTTCTACTCCACAGCTAGAGTTTGCAATTGGAATCTTTTGCTGTTGTGTTTGACATAAATTTTGTTCAGTGACTGATGGAGTAATTTGCTGGCTTCTGAGTTTCGTGCATTAACAATCTGCAGAAACCTGATTGAATTGGTGTAGGAGAGAAGCAGTGATGCAAAGCACTAGAAATAAAATGCTTTCAGTCGCTGAAAATGAAAGCTTGACAAACAGCTTTCCAGAAATCATTCACATGTGTGTACATTTTGACTTTTATTGTAGCATGGAAAGCAGTATTTTTTTTTTTTGAAAGGCAGAACAAATGACTTTGAACGGTTATAGTTTATTTTCCAATTACACGTTAAAAAAAAAAAAGGAAATATTAGTATTGTAAAACATGTGCCATTAGAATAGGGTTTGGTTTTTTTTCCTCATTTACTCCAGCAGCAAAACTGTTCTGCAGAGAGGATTAATCGATAGACTGGCTTTTCAGCTTTTAAATAAAATACATTAGAACTATCAGAAACCAATTTGTGAAGATTAATAGGGCTAGGCCACATGAAACAAGTCTCTTGGGGAACAAGAGAACAAAATTGGATGCCTCAAAAAGTAAGTCGTTCATTAAGATCTGGCAAGTGTAAGAAACCATTTGTAATTAATGCTAATACACTGTAATTATACCTTTGAGATAATATAACACTCTCAACTGGAGATGGAGCAAACTTCTGTTTTTGTGGACTCTGGAATTTGTTCTCCGTCCCACTCGCCTAGGTTTGACCTGTGGGTTGCACTCATGCACGTGTTCTTTCAGTGATCTTAACTGCCCTCAAGAAGAAGATAGCAAATGAGGGCCATAGTGCTCATTTGTTCTTTAACCTTGATAAATTCATGCCACTTTTTGAACCAAGGGGAAGGAAGTGGAGTCTGTGTTTAAACCACATTTTCCTGTTGGAGCATTACTGCCCTCTTGGACTTCCCTTTATCTTGCTGGCCCTTCCCAGTTTCTCTATCTATGCTGGGTTGGACAGAGGTGGGAGACGCTGATCTTGTTGCTTCTGTACCTGTGGGCAGCAAGCCCAGGAGGCAGCAGTGTTTGAAGCATACTGGTTGTTTTCAGCTGTAACTTCACAGTAGGAAACAAGTCCAAATCCCTGTGTGATATAGATGAACTAAGACTTAAAGTCAGATTTACCGTCATTAGGATTTACTAAAGCTGTCACCCAGCAGTTGTTGAAATTGCAGAGGAAGCAGTTCTGAAACTATTGTAGGTGTTGTTTTTTAGAAGGTGTGGTATGGTTCTGTTTAGGCATCTCCCCATGCAATGACTTCATTTTAATACTCTTTAAGTAACCTGAAGTGATCTTGCTTCTCTGCTAATCTTTCTTTTTTTTTTAATTTGGGGAAGTACTAGAGTGTCATTTATTTCCTGAGTGGGAGGAAAGGATTACCTTTTGTTTGCTGAATGTTCTTGGGAGTGGTGAGGAAGTTGTCTGTGGAAGACTTCTTAATATTTTAATGGCACTTCTAGGAAAGTAGAATGCTACTTAAACCTGCGGTGTTAAGAAACAAACAAACAAAAAAGACCCAAGAAGAACAGTTTTATGGTTTGAGTTTAAAGGTGGTGATGTTTCATTCAGTTTTGTTTATTGGTAAGTGCAGTGTATTTATTACAAAAAGAACGTGATCTTTGTTAACATGCCTGCAAAAATTGGGAAGAATGGCCTTCCCAGACTGGTTTTACCATTTTTAAGATACTAACTAGTATGTTGTAACTTAATAGGTAGCAGACACAGATGAGAGGAGGTCTTGATTTTATTTTTCCTTAGCTAAGTTATTATATGCTTACAAGTAATCATGTAATGCTAATTTATACTTTCTTTTTTTCCTTACAGGGTATGGTCTTCGTTGCCACCGAGCTATTATTACCATCTGCAAACTAATTGGTATTAAAGACATGTATGCCAAGGTTACTGGATCTAAAAACTTGATTAATATTACCAGAGCTCTCTTTAAAGGATTGACACAACAGGTAGATTATATTCCTTGTGGTTCTATTAATTAAATCAGAGGACAGGATGGGATTGATATTGTAATAGTCTGTGATTAAAAATGTTATATTCTAACATGTCAGTGTGAATCCTTATTAGCAAGATGCACTTTTTCTGGCCAGACCTTTTCCAGAATCAATTTCCTCTAGAATAACATGGTAATGCTAATTACCTGAATCCCTGTTGCTCACTATTAGCTCATTTGAAATCCACAAGGATCCTCCTGACAAGTCTTTCAGTTTATGCAGTGTTGAAAATGTTTGTTGGTAAACATTTTTCCTACCCCATATATTGTGTATATGTTTGACCTCAAGTAAACCAACATCATGCATCATTGCTCCAGAAGTTAATGTTTTCTTAGGGATGATTTAAACTGGGATCAGCCAGAAGCAGGAAATGAAACAGCCTTTCTTGTAATATGAATTAGCCTGAGACTTTTTAAAATAGTTTTGTTGTTTTCCTGCTCCCTCTCTGCCCCCAGGAGACTCACCAGCAGTTAGCAAACCAGAAAAACCTCTACGTGGTGGAGTTCCGGGAGGAGCAAGGCCCACTGCCCATCGTTGTGGCACTGCCCGAGGGGACTGTCCGTGAGGATCCTGAGCCTGAGGATGAGGTTCCAGACACTAAACTGGAGTGGTGTGAGGTGAAAGAAGCTCAGGGAATGAAGAAATCACCCTGGGCAAATGTTAGACGGACAGTATGGTAAAAAATAAAATAAAATCAGTACCTGTATCTCTTCTGCTCAGAGATGCAGCTGTGAAAGCCCAGCCCAAATGGGCAGGCTTACATTTCAGAAGATGCCTACAGTAGATTTCATACCGTTCATGTTACTGCTCCCGTTACTGCCATTCAGTAACAGTTTGCTTTCCCACAACTCTTCTGATCACTGTTCAGCTACGAACATACAGAAGAAAGCAGCCAATGGACATGACATTGACTTCAAGCATGCATTTACTTGATTCCTGCAGATGTGTAATCAACAGATCCTGTGTGTCCTTCACAAACTCTTGGGAAACAACTGAAAATACAAGATTGTGGAAGCAATAAAGAGTCCTCAAAATGAATTTGCTGGAGGAGTTGCTGTCTTTTTTGCAAAATGCTGATATCTGGGAGCCCTTGAAGAAAGCAACAGTAGTGAGAATCAGTGTATCTGCTCTCCATCTCACTCTCCAGGTTTCAGAGTAGTGGGGCAACTGAAATCAAGAAGGTAGAAGATTTGTAGCTCAAAGGAGATAGGCAAAGTGATGAAGGCCAACAGCTGAATCTGTGCAAACACGTGTTGTGAAAGCTGGGGGAGTTCCCCAATTGAAGCAGAGCCCAAATATCTGAGGACAGTAATCTCTCAATCTCCTATTTTAGCTGGTGTTGGAAGTGCAATCCAAAACCTGCAATCACATCTTTCTTACAAAACTTTCCTTTGCATATGTGCTGGGATAGAACTTGGCTTTTGTTGCTGCCAATTTGGTACTGAGAATAGCAATATTTTGGGCTCTGTCCAAGACTTAGAAAGCGTTACAGCTGTTGAGATTAAAGAAAAAAGAGAAAGTTTGTGATGTGCTTATTCTCAGAGAAGGAGTAAACACTTCATGTAGTGGATCTCCAACTGAAGCATGCAGAGGTAGGTGCTAGAAGCTAGATCAGCTCAGTGGTTGGGAGATCTATCACCCAAGAGCTGGAGGAGGTTTAAGGCCCTTCTTGAACCCACAAGATAGCCACTCATGGTTGACTCTGCCATGCATCTGAAGCAGTGCCCTTTCAGTGCTGTCCTCAGAGATAATGGGGTTTTGATGCTTAATTAATTATGAGAGACAGAGCAGAGTGGGGCTCATGGCATCCATGTGATGATTGGAAGTGGGGAATGGTCCAAAAGTTTGGATAAGGAGGGAGAGAAGCAGACAGAGCAGACACAAATCAGGCTCTGCTCCAGACCCACATGAAACCTTGATACTTTCACAGAAGTTAGCTTTTGTGGGTTTTCCATTTTCCAAGATTATTCATCTAAATATAGATGATTGTATAGGTGTTTTTACCCAGCATACAATTTGCTCATCACTCACTGACAAAGCTCGCTGTAAGATGAGAAACAGCAGGCTCTCCTACACTTTTTCATGGTGCTAATTGTAATTCTCTGTTCAATTTCTTTGCTTTCAGACAAAACAAATTCTGCAATTTGGGAGAAAACGTAAGTGCTTCTAACTCAGTGCATCCCTGGAGGCAAGGTAATTTAGGTACCTGTATGCAAATATTTGGGTAACCACTAACATTACAGTTAAGGCATTCTTCAATTTAGCAAGAACAACCAAGATAACAATCTGGACATAGTTAATGAATGATGTACATTTGTAATCTTGTTTGCATCAAAAGACCTGAAGTTTTACATACCTTCAAGTGGCTGGTTTGTCTTTAACTACAGTATAGTTGCCTGATCTCTAGAGTGCATGCTTGCAGACCCTTGTTTTGCTGAGGAAACTGGATTTTAAGTGCTCCGAAGAAGGCTGGTTTATGGCTTTTTAAATGGGCTCTTACTTACATCTTCAAGGGAATTCTGCAGATGGAGAGGATGTTAGAGATCAGGTGCTAGGGGTCCAGAAATACCTGACTTTTGCTTTTTAGGAACTTATCTTTGTCTATAGAGACATCCAGATCCCAAATGGATGTGATCCAAGCAGCCTGGTGAAGCTTTGGGTGAACTCAGTTGTGGGCTGCCCAGCTTAGAGGGCATGACAGACCTCATACTGTACTGAGAGGATGGAAGGGCTGGGTGTGACAGGCAGTGGAGATCTTAGAGTGGTTTTTTCTGTTTTTCTTTGCATGGAATATGCCTGTTGCTGCAACTCACCTGCAGCACTGCTGCATCTCCCTCTCACTCAGCTGTTCCTCGTGTAGGAACAGTCATTTGCCTGCAAACAGGTTGGCTGCGTGGGGTTAAATTTGGGGCCACACGGAGGGTTTCAAAGCCCTGTGCTTTTGAAGTGCTGTGAAGTGCTGCTTCGTAAAATGTTTTTGTCTATGCTCTCGACCCCATGGTGGTCCTAGGCAGAGGCTTGGCCATGTTCTCCATCCCAAGCCTGCACCCTCAAGCAGGCTCAAAGGAAGGGCATGGAAAAATGAACCAGCACAGACTGGTGCAAACTGGCGTGTTGCAGGGAAAAGAATAGTAAAGCAGAGTGAGGTGGGGAGGGGACAGGGCTAAGTGACAAGACACTGGCTGCAAATGGAATGGTTGTAGTGCACAGGGATGCAGAGGTGAGGGAGACATAAGGTAAAACTTGGAGCTATGGTGTTGGCCACACCTGGATGGGAATATGACACAGGCATTGTGTTCCAGGCTGCAGAGTGTGACCCCCAAATATTTGCTTCTTTCTGTGCCCCCAGACAGAAAGATTTCTATTTCTGTGCTACATTCAGAGCAGTGCAAAGTGTGACATCAGCAACCCCCATGATGATGTGATACTGAAATAATTTTCAGCAGGTGCCTTGAATTGAGTAGTGCCTTCATACACAGCTCCTGAGTTGCCTCCCTGTTCTGAAAAAGGATTTCTTTTTCTACTTCTATGGCAATCAGCTCATTTTTGTTACTAGCATGAAAAAACAGGTCAGGCTGGTTTTCAGTAAGGACAAAAAAATGAATCCAGTGTTTTCTCCGTACTGTAGTTTAAAAGTTTCAACCCTCAAAAGTCCCCTCAGGATATGAAACAACAGAGGTGTTTCTATGTCCAGTTCCGCTTCCCTTCCGTTCAGCAGTCCTTGTTATAACTCATGAGTTTCAGACTGAAGGTACCCCAAAAGCTTAGAGGACTAAGTTGCTACCACTGCATTTTAGGTTTCTCTGTAACATGTGAAAACACCCTTTTTTGGGCCTAATTCCCCCATTTAAAATAACTCACTTGACATAATACTCTGGAGTAAATTATGCGATCAGATGAACGATTGCTGACACTAGCTTGTGCCTGTAGCAATTGGACAAGAGGTAATGGTTAAACTATAAGAGGGGAGATTTGTTAGACATGAGGAAGAAATTCTTCACTAACAAGGCAGTGAGGCATTGGGATTGCTGCCTATAGAGGCTGTGGATGCACCATCCCTGGAGGTGCTGGAGGCCAGGTTGGATGGAGCCCTGGGCAGCCTGAGCTGGGGGGGGCAGCCCTGCCCAAAACAGAGGGGTGGCACTAGGTGGTCTTTGAGGTCCAACCCATGTTATTGTAGGATTCTCTTATTTGTGCCTGGATTTGTGCCTTGTTCTTGGGCACTGCCCTGCTACTGTATGCGTCAACTGTAAGGGGAAGTTAGTGACAATGGCCTTTGTCTGGTTGCAAAATCATAGGAAATCCATCTTTATTAGTGACACAGTGCCAGTATATGTGAGAACAGTCACATGCTGAAGACAAGAGCTAATTGTGTCTGCTTATCTGAGACGTTATTCTAATTATCCATGTAATTCTGCTGTAGTATCTCTAGTATGTTTTCTTACTTGTGTTTCACGGGGGAATTCATGGCAGCAGTAATTCCTGGAGTTATAGTTGTGCCTCGTAATTCTGCAGTACCTTTCAGGTGTTGCAGGGAATTCATTGCACCTGAGGCAAATTAAATATTGCCTTTACTCCTTCTCACAAGTCACAAGTGGCATTTTCAAAAATGGCATGGAAAATTCTTTTGGCACAGCAAATGAGGAAGGCAAAGAGGCTTACACAGATACGTGTCAACCAAAATGACCAGGTTTCATTCTTGTGCTGCGTAGCGCCAGACGTTCAGACTTCCTCTGGCAGCAGTTAAGACTGTGGAGGCATAGGGGTACAAAAGGGTTCAGGGAGATTTTGACATTTGAAATCCAGCTGTATTGTTCTAATTTAAGCCGGGTTTTCTGCTGAGACCCTGGTTACCAGCATCAAGTTGAACCCAACCAGGAGACTGAAGAAAAACAGATTGTGTCAGCAGACAGGTTTCTCTGACAGGCCCTTGGTCCTCGTTGCCATGGTTCCACATAAAAAGCTGCTTGTTTATGCTATATACATTAAAAACCAAGCCCTAATCCCAGCCTGGAAACTGTGGTCATTGGATAACTTCTGTGTTTGTAGGGTGACCACAAGATAGAACATGCAAGGACAGATCATTAGGATGATTTCCATCGGCGGAGAGAGTATATGATATGGATCACATACAACAGAGTAGCTACGAATGCAAATACCTAAAATGGAAAAAAACATCAGGCAGTTACTTTTTATTGTATGGCATGAGTTCCTATCTGTGCAAATACATCGTAATGCTTTATATTTCTGTTGACTTTTTGCACATTTCAAGACATTCGTGCATAATAGAACTGTTCTGATTTCCTCCTCCCCCCTCCAAAAGATTTGTGTGAGTCAAGATTTGCCCTTGGGGCCACCCACGGCACTCACCGAGGCAGAAATATTCTCCCGGTGAATGATCAGAAGCTGAAAATTGCTAAGTATAGAGGTAGTAATGGCTTCCAACACAGAAGCACTGAAGTAGAACACAGCTGCTGTCTCCTGACAGATGACATCCTAAGAAAATAAAGATTACACACGGTCATTCCCAAGGAGGGAGCATGCTGCAGAGGAGAAAGCAGAAGGAACCCACATGAGCAAACCCAGGCTGTGATTCAGAGTGCGGTAGGAAAAAAAGGGCACAATCATTGATACCAATGATAAAAGGAACAGGTCCTGAGGTTTGCTACGTGGCACTTACCAAAGTGACCCAGGAGCTGCTGTCCCCATGCACCCCACACATGTAGAGGAACAGGAGTACAGCAGTCAAGACAAAGCAGAACACAGAGACAAACATCACCCAGCCCTGCAGTTGATCGTTTGGAACCCTCGAGGAGGCAATGAGGATCCAGACGAGGCCCCCAAATATCTGCAAACAGAAGTGAGAGAAAGGGTGAGTGTGGAATGCCTTGCCTTCTCCAGAGCTAAACAAAAAACCATACATGCTTCTGGCACTAGCACTGTAGGTAGCAATAGACTGGCAAGGCCTTTGAGTTCTTCCCAGTATCTACTTGAATGTGAGTACATAGCTGGGAACATCTGCCTCTGATCTGGACCCCAGAAAGCCTCATGGCACCATCACCTCTGCGGTTCACTGTTCATTGCCCCCCAACTCCCCACCTCGGTGTGCTCAGCAGCCTGCTTTAGGCTATTAGCAAAGGTTGGTTTTGAAAACAAAGGAGGTTTATTTTAGGGTACATCTGTTTCACACCCAGAGTGGTGGGTCCCTGAAAGGAGTGGAGACAAGCCCAGCCCACAAGCAGCACAGACCTGTGGCCTCATGATCACCTTGTGATGAGGTTTTCATCACCTTTGAGCTGAGTGCCTATGGTGAGTGAGGGCACATGACGCTTAAAAATGTGATTCAGTGGTGGAATTGGTAGAGTTAGGATGATGGTTGCATGGGATGAGTCTTTTCCAAACTAAATGATGCTGATTCTATATAAGCTGTGCTGCCATGCATGCTTATGCCTGAACATCAGTTGCTCTTGATTTTCCTGGCTAACCTTCAGATCTAAGATTGTTCTGATCTGTGGCATACCCTCCTCAAGCCTTTGGCAGCCTCCAAGTGTCAACTCATCCCAATCATGGCATTTCCATTTCCTGGGGGGTACTTCTGCATATCAAAAAGAAGTCTGTGATTTATGGCACTCAGAAAGCACTACATCATGTCACCCCAGCTTTATAGAGGAAAATTCACTGGTGACTTCTCATTTCTCCTGGTTTTCCATCCCTCCTTTCTCTGGGATGTGATTACTCACTTGGGTAAATGTTTAACATGATTTTATTGCTGACTTTTTGATTTTATTGTGTTGCTGTTCAGTTGACTTGTAAAAATCAGGGCTGGATCAGGAGGCTTTCAGCAAAAATTCACAGCACATTGGTGACTGCAGTCTGAGAAAAACTTTAAATAGCCTTTTAAAACACAAGCAAATCTGTTTTCAGTTTACTTCAGCTTCTCCACTTAGACCCAAGTGCAAGATTTTGTCCAGATATGCAGAAAACTCTTTGAATAAAATAGATTCTAAGAATTAAACCCAATCTCACAGAATACAAATGAGAGTTCAACACCCAGATGTAGTCATCTGAGCTGCAGGCAGAACCTTCTGCAGCAGCTGTAGGAACATTCAGAATGCTTCCCACCCACACCCTGCAGTTGCACTGTAGGCAACCTCGGATTCTAGGATTGAGAACTCTTCATCCTTTTCCTGAATGCTATGATTTAAGGAGCCACCTCCTTTGTACACAGTGGAAAAAATACACCTGCACAACCCAGAGCCCTCTACCCCACTGACAGAAGACCCTGTTCTGCTGCATTCCTCTTTCCTGGGTGGTGCCAAGCCTTTAGGAGGCACGTTTCCAGACCTCCCCAAGCCATGAGATGGGCTATTTCCTTATGGCTCATTAAACAAGCTGCTGTGCCAAATCCCCTGCAGTCAGGAATTATAAGCAAACAGCTGAAGGTACAACCAGTGCCATAAGCATGCCTCGTTGGGCATCAAGCTCAGCACCAGAACAGCCTTGCCACTGTCTGCCTAGCCAGCACCTCCACAGGACTTTGTTTCTCCATGCAGCTGCAGGAAACCCAGACCTTGTTCTCAGAGAGGGACCGAGTCTTCAGAGCACATCTAGGTGGCCCGAGGGAAAGCCTTTCTCTGCACGGTAATGCCTGCTTTAACCCAATTCCTTTTTGCTTGCCTGCTATCCCTAGGAGAAAATCAGTGCTCTAAATCCTAGGAATGTGAACTGGGTAGACTTTGGTTCCAGATGGCAAAATTGAACTTAGGGTATGAAATCATATGAGCTCTGTCCTACGGTATGCAGCCAAATCACTCAGTGCTGGATGAAAGTGCTCAGGCATAGGAGAAAGCCTCTTGAACTGATGTGAGAAGAGCAAATTTCATCAGCAGAGGACACAGGAAAAGGTTTCTCCTTGAAACTTTCAGTCAGTGCTCACAGCATCAGCATTTAATTACCTATGCCAAATCCTTTAATATTCTGATCTTCTTCCACTCAGTCAGAATACAAGAAGGAGCAAGGTGCTCACTCACCCTTCACTCAGCCCCATGCCCAGCTCCAATGCTTCACCTCCAGCCCAGGAAAACTGTAGCTTCAGCAGCTGAAGCTTTTTCCTGATGCAGTTAATCTCCTTGCTTTAAGAAAGCATTTTATCCTTTGCGTGCATCTATTGCTAAAAATCACCTACCAGTTGGCTCAATTTGACTATCTACCTTAAAACCACCAGCAACCCCTGCAAATCCGTTAAGCGACAAATTATGGAAAGTTTTTAAAGGTGCCACAACCACCCCTCCACAGACTGAAGGGAGTTACGGAGCCCCCAGTTCGGGCTTGTGACCTTCTTTAAGGGAGAGCTGGGGGCTGCCCCCAGATGCTTGCAGCTCAGGGACCTGTCTGGGCCCCTGGACCACATGCTGTCTGCTGAGAGCCATCCCTTGGACACCCACAACACCAAGTGTGCTGGGGGACCCGTGAGCAGCATCTGCCCTTCCCAGGGAAAAGCTGGCACTCACCAGTTCGGGGATGAAGAGAACATCTGGAAAAGTTGTAAAGACGGCCAGGCCGCTGGGCAAAAAGGTTCTGGAAGTTGCTGAGGACATTGTGAAGCTCTCCCGCATTGACGGTTGGTCTCTCTGAAGGCAGCTGCCAAATACAGCCTCCTTCCCTCCCTCTCTCTCTTCCTCCTTCTCTCCCCTCCTTCCTGCTCTTCCCTCCCTCCTTCTCAGTGGCAGGCAAAGACAGCTTTGAGAGCCACAGATGTGGCCAGAGCCTGTGACCAAATATAGCTCTGTGACTGGTGGTGGCCTGCAGGAGGTTTTCAAGAGTTGTAGGCAGCCCTGGGGCGTTTCAGTCACAAGCAGGGACACACCATGCAGGGCATGTCCTTGGGCGGTGGGTGGTGGTTTACATCCAAGGCCAACAAAGGTGATCTGTGGTGATCCCACTTGCAGCATCTCTCACTCCCTCTGTTTGCACAGCACTTCAACTTGTCCCCCACCCACATGAGCTGGCCAAAGAAAGCACAATGGCAGGTGGCAGAGCAAATCAAGGTATACCAGGTCAGGGCTGGCAGATGTCCCATGGAGGGGCCGTGCATCCTGGGATGGTCAGGGGTAGTTGTAGAGCCACCATCTTTGTTGTTGTAGGTCAACGTAATGAAAATGGACTAAAATAATGAGATTTACCAAACCATTTGGCTTCGTCTGTTCTACTTTTTAGCCTGGAGTTCATGGGAGTGAGTCATTTCCCCTTCCCTTTATATGGAGCATTAACTTCTTACTACCACACTCAACTCATGCCCAGCAAAATCACAGCATTGGAGACATTAAACATCAATAAATGGAAAGGAACAATGTAGCCATTGTGGCCATCCACTGCCAGAAACCAACAACCCATAAAAGAAATGCCTGTCAGCTTGTGAATGGTGCTCGTACTGCAGCAGCTGCTCCCAGCCACAGAGCTTTGGTGTGGGATCTAGAGCAGGAGGTAGGACTGGTTGCCTCTGAGAACATGCTGTCGGATCTGGCCCAAGCAGCCCCAACCAGCCTCCTTGTAGTGGCAGTGGGGGACACATTCAGTTTTCCACGCTTTGTTTCTTGCAACAGCAGCAGCAGCTGTTCTCTAGCCCTGGGACAGGACAGGTATCCTTAGCAGCCATCAGCATGGTGGTGAGGCTGCAGGAGGTGTAAGTGTGGTGTCTGTGAGTTGGTTGCAGATCTTTTTAATCATAGAATGATCTAGGATGAAAGAGCCTTCACGATCATCAAGTGCAGTTGTTACCTTGACTTACTTAGTCCCATCATCAAACCATGTCCCTAAGGGCTTCTTCCATATGTCTCTTAATACCTCCAGGATCACCACTTCCCTCCGCAGCCTTTTCCAGTTCTCCGTGTAGAAATTCTTCCTGATACCCAATCTGTACCATTCCCTGGTACGAGGCCATTGCCTCACATCCTTTCACTTGTCACCTGTGAAAAGAGGCTGATATCTTCCACACTGCAACATCCTTTCAGGAATTTAGAGGGAGTAATCGGATCTCGTCCAGACTCAACAACAGTTTGCTCAGCCACTCCTCAAGTGCCTTGTCTTCCAGACCCTTCACCAGCTGTGTTGCTCTTCTGTGTATAACTTGGGCAACTCAATACTCTGGTTGCTTTTGTAGCAGGTTGGCAGTCAGGTGGGAATGGTGAGAGCTCAGCAGGGATGGAGTAAATGCCTGTCCTGAACTACAGGACACAGATTTGGGGCAATGAGTACAAGAAGTGCTGCCTGATGGCCAGGGGTCACCTCTGTGTTCCAGTTTGTGCCTATGGCTTTTTGTCCTTGCACTGAGCACTGCTGAAAAGAGCCTGGGTCTGCCTTCACCCTCCCTTCAGGTATTTATAGACATAAATATATATGAATGTGCAATGCTGGCCCCAGAACACACCCAGGGGTGAGACTGGGGAACTGCCCTCATAGCACAACCTGAACCCAGGGCAGCTTAGTGGGAAGAGCTGGCCCAGTCCAACCACCTGCTAAGTAGGAGCCTTAAAGGACTGAAAGAAGATGCATTCCCCTGGGGATTCCCGAAGGACCAGGAAGTAGCTGATATGACAGCAGCAAAAAATCTGTGTTTCAACCAGCAAAGTCTTAGCAGGGAGGAGTGCAGGGCTTGGCAGAAGGGTGGTGGCCAGGCTGAGAGCTAGTGGGGATGGGTGTCAGCTGCTCCTTCAACCTGAGTCTTCCATGGCTGAGGGAAAAGCCCAGGGACTATGCGTGGGGCTGCTGTGTCTGGAGGGAACAGCTGCCCTGGGCAGTAGTACATGGAGCTTTTCTTGCAGCTGAGTCCTGATTCAGGAGGGTTAGTTACCTAGTGCTCCACCTTAACAGTGTACTCAAAGAGAGTACTGGAGACAGTTTTCTGAGTGCTCACTACTTAAGGACATGGAGAGAGATAGGATATTAGGTAACAGAGGAACGGTATTAGGTCTGGAAACATAAGTGGACAAGTCTATGATTACCAAAATATTCCCTTCTAAATTCTGGAATGGCAGGCAAAACCACATGGCTTCCCTGGCTGTTGGAAAGCACCAATGAAACCCACTTGAAAAGAGTTGTGACACTAAAGACGTGACAGTCTCTTACTGTGTATTATCACACTCCAATGTCCTCAGGAAATTTCTCTTTTTTTCTGTGTTTTCGAACTGAGCAAATCTAAAGCTGAATAGCTGAAAGGAGATTTTCTATGTTGTAGAATCAATGACACAAAATCTGCAGATCTCAAGTGAAGTAGCCTGAAAGAAATGAACCTTTAAACTGTCTTCAGATGACTACCCAGAAAGACCCAAAAAATCCCAACAAAAAACAACAAGGCTTATGGTATGCATGGGTGTGAAAATAATTATGTCTTCTTGAAGGTATTGTTGCCACTCACTCAGGAATGACATCAAGTCACAGTGACTTTCCAGTCTCCCACTGCTACAGCCAGCTTTGCTGTGCTTTAACTATTGCACAACCAGCCAACTCTGTGCGACTGCGCAGTTAATGTTCCAGCAGTTGCTTTTGCTTTATTTACACAGAGCAAATCCATGTAGAGCTTGGCATTTTAAGAAAGAATAGATATGAGATTATCACTCAGAAATTACCAGCTCCTTTCTCTGTCAACAGAACCTTGACTGAGGCTGCCCACACAGCTATAGGTGGGGTTAGGTGGGGTTAAATGGGGCTAGCTGGTGTTGCAGATTGAGTCCTTGGCTTTCAACTTCATGTTCCCTTCCTTGACCTCTGGTAAATCTGCTGAATATAGAGGCAGTGCTGCTGCAGGCTTCTCCTTATCTGGGCATTCCATAGGATGACCAAAAGCAGAAGAAACCTCAGTGTACTTTGATACCTTCCTCCAGTAGTGATTAGATAAATTCGAACTAGGCCAGTCTAACTGCAGGCATACAAGAAGAGGTTTAGAGCAGTCCCATTAAGGTTTCCCCCAGGCTTCCTGTAGAAGAGGGTGCTGGGCTTAGTGTTTTATTTGTTCATTAGTCAGCAAGTCCACAAGCAAAACTTTTATGTCACAGAGTGAAAGTTCATGTAAATCCACAAGATGGCAGGAGATACTCAGAAATTTACCATCAGCTGGAAGGGCTTGCAGGCTTTTGTAATTATCCTTTGATGTGCCATTGATTTGGGCAAAGTTAAGTAAAACCATATTTTTTAATAAGATAGAAGAAGCCTGGTAAAGGTATGTCAGCAAGTGTTTACGGATCTCTTAGGAGCAGTGGGATGCTAAGCCAGTGCCCTGGCAGCACTAACAGAGCCATGTGAGTTATAATTAATGTGGAAACAAGAAGCATACAATTAAGTTATCCTGTGATAGCAGGGTAACCATTTATAGGTCAAAACCTCCTCACTTTGATGGCCAAAGGACCCCCAGCCCTAACCTGCCACGGTCACCTGCATTTCAGCCTTAATGAAGCTTGCTGCTTGCAGAGGTGCCAACCAACGTGACAGGTACATCAGTCCTTTCATCCTGAAGTAGAGGCCAACAGTTTTCTCATTATGCAGTCCTGCAAACAGGTACTGAGTACTTCACTCAGTGTGGCTCACACAAGCCAAAAGGTTGGACACCCATACTCTAGTCCTGTAGCAGATATAAACTCTGATTCATGCCTGTCTGTATCCTGCTTCTACAGTGCTCCCAAGGTTTGCTGTTTCAGCAACTGAAAAGCAGAGCTGAGACTTCCACATGGCAGAATCACAGAATGGCCAGGGTTGGAAGGGACCTCAAGGATCATGCATCTCCAACCCCCCTGCAACATGCAGGGCCACCAACCTCCTCATTTAATGCTAGACTAGCCTGCCAGGGGCCCCATCCAATCTGGCCTTGAACACTTCCAGGAACAGGGCATCCACAGCCTCTCTGGGCAGCCTGTTCCAGTACCTCACCATTCTCTCTGTAAAGAATTTCCCCCTGACATCCAACCTAAATCTCCCCTCCCTCAACTTAAAACCATTTCCCCTAGTCCTGCTGTAATCTACCCTTTCAAAGAGTTGATTTCCCTCCCCTCTGTAGCCTCTCTTTAGGTATTGAAATGCTGCACTGAGGTCACCCCTCAGCCTTCTTTTCTCCAGGCTGAACAAGCCCAGCTCCCTCAGCCTGTCTTC